GCTCAACTGGCGGCACTAGTTAGTATGCCGGATTAGGTTGCATTTGGCTAGAAGGTTGTGTCGATTCTTCATCGAGCGTTTGTAAAGGTTGCCGTTGGATTTCTTCAGTGTCTGGCTCTTGAAAGTATGCATGGTTGCTGCTGTTCCCTTCCTCTTCGTCCTTCAAAATAGCAGAAGAGTAAATTACTAGAAAGTTATCACATGTCGCGCCAAAACTATTGCACTATAAAAACTAGGTAAACTTTGTCACCCTATAATCGAAATACTCAGTTGTAATGAGCTATTTGAGTACCGTATTCGCAGTATCAAAGCCATCCATTTTGCCTTGAACTTCGTAACCCTTACAGTATGAATCGAAATCCAGTATGATAATTATTTATTGATATCAGCTGTCACATAAAGGTCCACTGATTGGATAAAGCAAGCTAAACAGTCTGTCAGTCATGCTCGACAGGACTGTGGCTGTGCACGTGCACGAAAACAGTTCAATATTTTTTGATACATTTATACTTCATTTTTACAGTAATCTTTCTAGTATTGTTGTTATTACAATTTAACTGATTTAATTCATAATTTACTACCTCTTAGTATGGCTCCTGTTGATTTAGGAGTTGTTTTATTGTTTAAAGATTTGATTAAAGATGGCCAATACCTACACACTTCAATTTCGACCTTTTAATGAATCTTCTATCTTGTAACTCAAATCATCATATCTTTATTAGGCATTTATTCAGTAATGTCCATGGTATTCTAGGTATTTCATTGTATGTATTAAGACGGATGGTTCAGTTACAGCGACTGCTCCCGTCTTACATTACCGAGCATCTCAAATTCCTGTCGTCAAAAACGCCACCAGAAAAGTTTTCAATTGAGTGTCATAAAACCAAAACCAGGGTAATCACTCTGGCCAATCACAAAGAACACGGACAATACAGTGAGCCAATGGAAACTTCAAGTAAATACATGTACCTTGGGAAAATGTGCGCGAACAAGTCTCAATTGGTTTTGGTTTTACTTCTACTTCTGATTGGATGAAAAAGTGGCGCGAGTCTTTTTTAGCCAATCGTGTAGCGTAGTTATGCAAAGCCAATTACTTCTCTACACTCAAGCGAAACCCACTCTAATACTTTCATTTGTTGCTATTTCTTAGATTTCTTCCTTCCGTTAAGGAATCGTGTGCGATGTTTTGATACTCATCCGGCGCCTTCATGTTGTGCTTCAAACATTCTTTTTTCCTTGTACTGTCATTGTAATGCCTCTAATACCTTTTTTGCTGGAAGACATGTCATTCAGTATGTATTTAGGTCAACAGTTCAGCCGTACTACAGCGTGACACATGGAAAAATGTACAGTTATTTGATTGATTGTATATTTTTCTTCTTTCCTGCTTTCCTGCTTGGCTGATCTCTAACAGACGTCAGTACCAGTGCAACGAAGCATTTGGTAGGTTACATGGAGTCTAGGTTGTGGTGAGGACGGACGCTGTTGGCGGCGGAAGGGAATAGAGGCAATGATTAGGTAGTTGTATGCAAGAAAAAATAAGTCAGCCTTTTTCGGGCTATTCGTTCCTTTATTGCCAGTCGCATGGCCGCGATTCCCTAAATCTGCTGAGTGTTTGATCGCGTTTAACGTTGTGCAACTTCTCTTCCCACGCTCACGGAAAAGACGATGAGTCATGATGACGAGATTGTCTGGGGAATTCCCCCAGTTGATCTGGTTTCAACCAGTTTCTAATTTCCACCGTCAGCACTATTTAAACTGAGGTTCGTA